AATACAAAAGCCGATTTCTGATTCGTCGGCTTTCCAGCGAATAAGAACACCGGATGTAAAATCCGATCTCCAAATCAGATTTCCCGACCTCGATATCCTGCATTGAAACCTTAGCAGGTACACCTGATTAAAGTTTCTTTCTGATGTCTTTTTTACCTTGCAACAAACAGACACACACACAAACTCTTTTTACTTTTTCACATGACCCTCCCTACAGTCGAGGGAATAAAACGACTAACAACTGCATGGATCACTTTTTCACCATGAGACGGATCAAGAACTTGAAAGCTAGACATCATTCATTGCTCCTTACCTGGCTGGATTTCATAAATCAGCCCCTGTAATCATCTACCCCAATTTCTAACATCTTGTTCCCAACTTGTTGCAGATGCTTTATTCACTATAACTTCCTGTTTCTTGTTCTATGCCTTGTTCTCCATTCACTCTCTCTGCTCCTTGGTTGTTCCTTCTATCGTTCCTTCTTTTTTTGTTCTCCTTCTTTCGTTTCTTTCTTCCTCCTCTTTTTTTGTTCTCCTTCTTTCGTTTCTTTCTTCCTCCTCTTTTTTTATGTAAGCGCTTACGAGTGTCACAATAAAACAGAGTACAAGCCGAAACAAAGAATTTACAACCTCCAGACACTGTTGTTCTAGAGATTATATCTTGTTTTTACGATCAATTTCGCATAAGAAGTCAGAATAACACTATTTTGAATAGTGACAAAAGTTAGAAAGGTGAGATAATGGGATGTTTGGGAGAAAGCAAGGTTTTGCGATCGTTAATGAATTTTAAATCTTTTTTGTCAATGTACTAATGAAAGAAGCGCTTAGAACTACCGGTCAGCAGCAAATATTTCTCACTTTACATTTGTGGCAGTACTCACGAAGTGTTAGTTATACGAAGAAATATTACCGAGTATACGTTGTTTGACACAAACCGATCTTCTTTTTTCCAACTAAAGAGAAAATAATGAATCTGCTTTCTTTTCTTTACATGCATTTCATCTCTTAAAGTAACATTGGGTTGGTTGAAACAGAAAAAAATGATGATTCCTCTCACAAGAAAATATTAAAGTAAAAGAAAAAGAACTGACGATTTGACGCTACTTGTTTCATAAAGCAGCAGTGCCATGGAAACCGACGTCTTGTATTTGTTTTTCCTTTCTCTTTAAAAGTGACAATATATAGTGCAAGCGGCGCTCTACACTGTTAAGAGCTGCCGTATATATAAAGAACAAGAAATGCGTTGTAGTATGGGAAACAAACAGAAGTATTTTTTTTTGTCGTTCTTTTAATGAATCAAAATATTTATTCACGCTTTTACGCAGGAAACATTTTTCTCATTCAAAGAACGAAGAATAGACCTATGTTCTTCTGACGGTTGCACTCTCCTAGGTTAAATAGTTGATATTTCAGCACCAGATCCTTGACATATATGATCAGAATCCTGCAAAAATTCGCTGTTTTTTCCTGGGAAAACGACTAAATTCTGAAAAAAAGTGTATAGACACGGAATTTTAGATTTCCGATGGAACTTAAAACAGGATTTTCAAGAATCCTGATAGATTTACTATTGTTTTTGGACCAGAATTGAGTCAGCAAATCGATAATTCTTGAAAGAAGTGTGTAGCCACGGAATTGTACGATCCTATCAGTATTTCAATAATTAAAAATTGGAAAAAAAGATTTCTGTTCACATCTGTCAGGGTTTGACTAGGTTTCCTTAAGGATGTTATCAATTTCTTGGCCAGACCTTTGCAGGATTTTCTAAATAAAACGGAAGAGAAATGAACACATAGAGTATTGATCTCTAGACCTTCAGTTTACATACTGATGAACTTACTCAGCTGAGTCTGCCATGTCATTCTATATCTTAATTTCTGATTTTAATGTAAACTTCTATTTGAATTCTACCTGAGTACAAATTATTTCAAAAAAATTCTGAAAATACAATATCATTTTACATATTTAATTTAGTTAGTGAACTTTTACTACTTTTTTTTGTTTCAATTCGATTTAAAAAATATATTGTGAATTTTTTTTCGAACATAATCAAAATGATAAGCAGTTTTTATCGAAAGATTTGCTGCTTACTTAAACTATCTATTTAACGAAAAAAATTTACGACGACTAAATTCAAATTAACATTCTCATTTAATGATTTTCAATTTTCTTTTCCTGATAAGATTTAAAAAAAAGAACTCCTTGATGTAGCCTGAATTTCAAAACAATTTTTATATCAACCTTATAGAGAGTTAGAAATTTTTTTTCTAAGATTTATTAAGATTCGCTCTATTTCTTTATGAAAAGAACTAAATCAAGATCATAGGATAAAAATGCCAGTAGATCATTCAGTTCCCAGAATTTTGTCGTGTTCCTAACAAAAACATAATAACATCTTGAAAAATCTTTGTATTTATGTGTTTGTTAAGATTTTAGTAAACGTTGGTATCCAAATTGTGTTGCGATCTACAGATTTACAAACCTTGAAAGAATCCTGACCTGAACCTAGCTGAAAACGCGAGGGAACCGATTCATTTATTCTTGCAGCGTTCCTGATAAGATTCTGAAAATTAAATTTTGAAAAGTCTCTAAACACAAACCTGAAAAGATCTTAACTGGCTCCTTGTATTTTCTTATCAAAATCCGATCATACTTGTATGTTTTTACACCATTGGAAATGCCTATTCTTGAACAGTTCCACTCAGGATCCTGATCGAAGTTTAGCAGGATGTCTTAGTTGAGGATTCTGATTAATCTTGTTTTAGTCCTGGTATGATCTTTCTCTGATATAACTGTAACTCTTGGCATGGTAGTCTTGTGCGGATTGAGAATAGATCTTGATGAAATTCTCTTTATGATTTTTGTCAAGTTCCCGGATGGGATTAACAATGAAACTTTGTAATATCCCTCGAACTCAATTCAGAAAAAAATCCAAGCAAGAACTTGAACAAATTCTGAATAGAATCCTGAATCAAACCTGATAGGATCCTTGAGATTTATGATTGTGAAAGATCCTTCAAGGCTATCTCAAGAAATGGACATTGCTGAGTGGGCTAAGCAGCAACCTGTAAAGATCTTTGCTAAATCCTTACATTTACTTATCAAGATCCTGATTAGGACTGACATTGCCTTGCAAGGTTTGCAAACACATATTCTCGAGAAGTTCCGAACAAGATCGTGATTAAAGCTTTGCAGGATTAGTTAGTTTTGTATTCTGATTGATCTTGTTATTTTCTGGGTGTAGGTGTGGGTATGGATGAAGAGAAGATCAAAACCACATCCACATCCACACCCTTGGTTGCAATGGATCATGATTATTTAAAATTATAGAAAGGTAGGGATAAATGAGAAAATACTTGTAAAACTGAATATTTTGACATTTATCAAGCATCTGAACGTGCCTCATGGATTATACAAATGCTAACAAAATGATATTTAGACTCGAACAATGTAAGATATTTTATGAAATATATTTTCAATTTTCACTCATTTTTAATGTTTATCAATTTTGATTGTTTTTCAGTTTTTCAACATAATAATTTTTCTAAAGTAAATGAAACGAAAAGTATTGCCACACATCTTTATATTATGCATCATTATGTTCGAGTAAGAAAATGTTTTTTTTTCGTTTTATTTGATGCGTTTATTACATATTTGTTTAATTTTGGACGTCTAGACATGGCTCAGATATCGTCTCTTCAAAGAAACTGCTATTCGTCTTCATTGACGTTACTTGACTCTTGTTACAGCTTAAAACAAAAGATATCGTTCCCTATAAAAAAAAAAGTCTAATAAAGAAAATGATAAATATATAATAGTAGTGTGACGACAATAATAAAGCAGATAGATTCAATTCTCCAATGATTTATTGTAACTTTTTCCATAAATCAACCATCAAGAAAAATACGAATAAAAATCAGTATCACCTTAGTACATGAAGAATATTGATGGATGTGTGTTGTGTTTCGTATGCTGTAATTGAATGAATGATAACAAGATTTGTAGGATAGAAAATCAAAAATATTTAGAGCAGTACTGATGACAGATGATCAAAAACGTAATAAATTCTATGCTAATACTATTTAGGAGTATGTGACCAGTTTTGAACAATGAAGAATCGAAGAAATTCAACAATAGAAAGATGCGATCTTTTCATGCATTTAAAATAAATGGATAAATTGGAGAATCTTTTGAAGAAATATCTGAGCAAAGAGAACACAGCCCGTTTTTTATTAGAATCTTTCTTATTTTTCTTTTCAATCACATATCTTTCATTGATATCATTGATCAGATGATGAATAATCTTCATGATCATTGGATAAGAAACAAATTGATTGTTCTAGTCGACATTAAAAAGAAACCATGGAATCTTTTCTTTTGCCAGAAATATCTTGGTAGAGTTCAAGATGATTCTGGTATCGTGGAATTCAAAGAGAAGTAAGGTGCAAAGACCATAATGAACACTATTTTATGCTTTGTAGTATCAAATCGTATTGAACACACAATAGAAAGAAGTACTCAAGGTGTGAGTGTGAGGGTGGGTGGGTGTGGGTGTTGGTGTGGATTTGGGTGTGTGGGTGTGGGTAAAGAAGTGGTATATGAACATACACCCACATCCAGACCCACACCCCACACCCACAAGAAAAGCCATGAGTAAGGTTATTTTAGAAAATCGTCAGGATTTTTTCAATTTTTGTGGCTAATAAACGAAACAAAGTCGTCACGTCATGTTGGTTCCGTAAGAATCTAATGCACTTTGTACCGTTTAATGTGAACAATTTTTAACAGAACTTTACATCTTCCCTTCATTTAGTTGTTATTTTCTTCACATGGACAAAGAAATAAGTAAAAACAGGACAGAAATCCAAGAAAGAATATTTACAAATAAGACATCGAAAACTTTTATAGAAATTATTCTCCATATTATATTTAAAATATATCTTTAATGTCTTGTCAATGTTCACTCATTTTAATGGACGTTGTTTTGTATATTGTCTTCTTATGCGACGATCATTTTCAATAGTTACTAACGATTCTATATTACCTTTATCATTCATACGTATTTATATTGTAGGCAGTGGTCCATCTGTTTTTTATTTAACACAAAACTTATTCACACATTGTCACAGAATGCCGGAAACAACTGATATTATTGAAAGGTCACCTTTATTTTTGGGTTGTGTTCGATATATTGGTGATGCACCTGATCATTCTGAAGTAATAAATCTTATACAAATATTTACAACAATAGCTGAACATGAACATGTGAAAGAACTACAAGAATTTTATCATACTATTTGCTTATGGTTTACCTGTTCAACGTAGTTTAAATATTGCTAATAAAATAAGATTAGACAACGTTTTTTCTGCTAAAGATTTTTTTGTGAATGAAACAATGGCAAAATAATAACGAAACAAAATAATTTTTAAATCATTATAAAAAAAAAGAAAACAATTTCAAATAGATGCACCAGAAAAGATGCAACTTCAACCGCAACTTGATTGTATTCAAAATTCATGTTTTCATCTATTAATGGCTGAGCTAAAACAGATATAACTGATGTAGAACGATCAAGAAAAAGATTAACCGAATTAATGTTTAAAATAGTTCGAATTCAGTTTGTATTTTTTGAAATTTATTATTATTTCATCTAGAATGATTGAAACATAATCTTGAACAATTTTTGGTACTTATAATTTTGACGCCATCCAAAACAATCGTTGAAAATGTTCATTTTGAACATATAGAACTTGTAGCTAGTTGGATTTTTCTGATGAGAAAATCTATCCGTCTAACAAAATGAAACTTCTTTTTTTTCCAATTGAGTTCGATAATTCAAATGTTTAATAATCGAAAATGCAGTAGAATGAGATGGGTTATCTATATAGGAGACGTCTAGAGTAGTCACCATGGATGAGTGACTATGAATATCATCGTGTATGTGAGAGATAGTATGGTCGAATCTAGACACTATCCTTTTCTATACAATGTAGTCTTGGATAAATTATTTAGGACTAGGATGTTGGCTCATTTATTGAATAGTATACTTAACTATGTCGTTCAATTTATCTTTGTCGTATATTTTCTCGACATGTTGTTTGTGATGTAAATAAGTTAATAATGCAGTAAATAAATGCAATTTGAAGCTTCAATGAAATGAAAAAAGAAACATATAACAGAATATTTTTCGACCTTCTACCGATTTTAATAAAACTGGAACATTTCGATATTATTTTGTTATTTAGGTTATGTTATATATGTGATGTTAATATTTATTTGTTACATTTGATTATTAAATTTTAAGGTCATGGTGTTAAGATCATAGTATATTTGTTACTGATGTTATGCTTATGCTATCTATGTTTATTTACTTACTAATTCTGATTATCCTAACAAGATACAACTGACGATGACCGTTCATTAAAATCTGTACAAGGTCGAAATATTCTGCTACATGTTTCTCTTTTTCTTTTATCATATCGATAAAGCTTCAAGGTTCATTTATTTACTGCATTATTATCTTATTTACGTTATATAATTTAAAATCTCAAGTTCTATCATTATACTTTGATTTCGTTTGTGTTTATATAGAAACTCCTAGTCGATACTTTCTATATCAATTGATCATAGACTGACCGATTTCGAGAAGTCTGCTGAAAAAAAAATCAATCATAACTTGGTAAAGAAATTCTAATCATGTGTAAAGTGACAATTTTCTTTCAACACTTCTTTCATTTTTCGAATCTTTCGAATTGACATGAAACGAATGTTTGGATTTTCTAATTTGTCAATATACTATGACCAATTTGATATTTTGAATCAATAAGTTCAACACCATTAATTAATTGTCCACACTTATTATATGCTACATCTGGATATGCATCCGCTACATAGCGATCTATCAGAAAACTTCAAATACGTGAATATATAAAAAAATTAGAGAAAAAATGCAAACAAGTTCTGTACCGTTGACAAGTATCACAATATAATTGTGCAATGTTATTTTTGAAGATATCTATAAATTTCTTTTTTATGTAAATCAAAATATCTATTGCAAGTTTCTCGTGATGTATATTTCGATTTCAATGTTTTTGTTTCAGTTGCTATAAATGAAAAAATGAATAAGAAATTGTTTGATTTTATCGAGCAAGAAAACATCAGCACGTAATAAAGATCCAATGAAAGAATAACCAAATAAGGTACATTGCTGACAAAAGGTAAAGTACTTGTCATCCTGATATTTGGAACATCAGGTTTTCGTGTTCTATGAACAATAATAATAATAATGCTGCTAGCGCACTTTGTGCAGAATTAAAGTGTAAAACACGACGTAGCTACTGTTATTAATCACCAGGAGATTGTTTTATTCAGTCTAATTTAGAAGAGATTTCTTCACCATTCTGTTACTTCATATTTCAGAAATGCAATAAGAAAGTAGTTAACTAGATGGTATTGAGACACAGTCTTTAATCGTATATCAACAAAGCTTGTCACTGTCGCTGATAAAGGAGAGACATTCTTTCGATCGGTGACGTCTTATTTTCCTCTATCAAATAAAATTTTTTTTCGAAGATCTTAATTCAAGCAATTCTCTTGAAGTCTTCGGATCTGCTACTGCTAATAGAGAATAATTTCAGCTGCACAAATGTTTTATATTTCAACATTCATTGCAGATCATGGTCCACAAAAACATAATATCAAATACAATACATGAATCATTTCTCACATGTTTTTCATCCGATTTTGATTTATTGAGCGGCAATGGTGCCTTTGATCATTGATCCAAAACTTTTTCACCTTCTTCTGACGATTCATTAAAATCAATTTCTTCTATGGGTATCATTATCTGAAGAAAGATTGTATAAAAATTGTATTTTATTTTTATGTCATTTTGTACTGTGATTTCAAAATAATATGATGCAATATAAAAGATGAATCATTCATTTGTCATAAAACTGCATTATTTTCTTCTTTCTATTATCAATTTTTATTTTGGACCATATTTGATCAATACACAAAGTAAAAAAAGATAACATACTACGAACTAAAACAGTATTCCCGAAGATTTTTCGGTTTTGAGTAAAAAAAAATTGGTTCCGTTATCAGTTTATACATTCATTGTAAAAGTATAGAAATCAAATGAAAAACATTAAAGGTAATATTCAACGAACTTATGTTTTTGAATGGATTGCGTAAACAACAAAGAATCCAAATGATGAACAATTTCCATGAACGAATCCTAAAATAGCAAAGAGATAAATCAATTTGGAATTGAAACAATATTGTTAAATTCTTTTGGAAAATAAACCATATCAATCAAAATAGAGCGAACAAAAATTCAACTTTCAACAGGAACCTGTAGTCCTACTCAGGTCACATGAAATATCGACTTTCGAATTCAAATTTTGCATGAACATGAGAATAGTTCTTTAGACAAGTTGTAACTTTTCTAGTTCTTTTTTTCTATCCTGAAATATTATATATTCAAAATTTTCTATATTAGCGAATCGCGTTAAGAATTTTATTCGCGCAAAGTTTTGAAATCGAAATTCTATTTTCTAGATAATCTGAGGAGAGTTACATGTCTTTATACTGAAACATTCAGTAAAGCTTCGATATGTGGACAACGAAGGTTTGGAACAACAATACTTCGTCAGTCAACTTTTCATATTCTCATCTGAACGTTTGTCCTTTGATAGATGAAAAAGTTCCTGATAGGATTTTATGTAAAAATTGGTCTCGTGTTTTTAATATCTAAACTAAAAAGCAAGAAAAATTTTGATGGTATGTTAAACAATTTTCGGCGATCCGCTTTGTTGAGGAATTAAATTGAATACTCAATTATATTCTGCTATTGCAGAGAGATCAGGATTATTAAATTCATATTTTAGAAGCTAAATTTTGTAAAAATCAGAATTTCTACTGTAAAGACTTACAACAAAATATTTCTTCCTGTTTTGAATATTTAATAGAAGCCATAATGAATTTCGAAAATATAGTTTATTAGAATTAGAATTTCATTTTTTTTTTGAAAATATGTACCCATGAGTCAGTTGTAATTCAAACTTTCTGTAATGTAAGCAGATGTTGGAAATAAATTCAAACTGAAATCAATAGAAAAAATTTATTTGGTTCATTTTTTCTTTTATTTTAGCTAAAATTTATTCAATTCGAAATCTAACTTTATAGCATGAAGTTATTTGTACACAATTCCTTATCTAATTACATATTGACATAGCAGAAGAACGACACAAAAAATCTATTGTGTCTTAAATCTAGACTTTAAACTACCAATTTCGTCACAAAATGTTGTTGTGTCTAGAAAATAACGTTTAAGAAAACAGAAGTTTTGTGTCTTTTTTTGTTCTGAGTCCAAAACTAGCTTTTAGAAAATTGAATATAGGAATAGTTAGCGTCGAAGTTTTTGTACCTTATGTTATCTTTATAACTTTAAAGACGATTATAGAATTCTAAACAATTGTATGAATTATTTATCTAAATGTCTATTTGGATTTCAACAAAGTTAGTTTTGAATTATTTTTAAAGTAATTTAATAGAAGTTATTTTTACTTTTCTTGTAGCTATTCCTATTGAACTAAGCAATGGTTCTTATTTTGTTTGTTTTTTCAGAATATTCGGTCACCATATTATAAGTTCATGCTTGTTTGATCTGTGAAATATAGAAATACTAATTTCATTTTCAAGAAAAACAAATATTTAAAATTTATTCTGCCCTACATTGTGCAAGAACATAATCACTTAGTTTTGCAGAATGCAGAACATTCTTACATTCGATCTTTTCGTTATATTTGTTATCCTCGTATCATGTTAATAAACTTTATTACATGTTTTTCAGCAGAAACAAAATAAACAATAGAAAAATACTCTGACATTCATTAACTGAATAAAACAAGTTTAAAATATTAATTATTCAAAATATGATGCAACAAGAATGAATAAATAATATAATTACAAATTTGACTTGATGATAAAAGTATTCGTCATTGAGTAAATGTCAATCCAGTTGAGCAAAATAATCTTTCTATCAAAACACTAGTTGTTGATATGGTATCTTCTATTCTGGTTACTATTGATACTAATGGGATATCTCAACAAGTTTCAGTAGTAGACCAGAACTTTATAGACATACACATTTCCAATTCTTTTCACTTGTTAAACCAGTCGAAATTTTTTGAACATTTTTAGTTTAATTATGAGTCATTCTCATTTGAAATACTTGTCTTAATGTACGCTCATTCGTTTCACTTGGGTTATGAACTGAATGAAAAAGCTCGACTTAATCATTTCGTTACTTTATGGAGACCACTAAAATTTCAACATATACATAAATTTATTTAATATTACTTCATTGTAAAAAAAAGAAACTTTCAAACTCTTTAAGTGCTAAATCTAATAAATTTAGATAACTAATCGAACGTCAACCTGAATCAATTTCTAAATTCTCAAGTGATGTCTCAATAAGTGAAAACTAAAATTAAAACTTATACATTCTAGTTTTTGGTTTTTTTAAAATTTACTTTATCAAGTAAACATCGATCAACCGAAAATCACTTCAGCTAACTGATAAAGTGCATCGATTTTATCAGTTCGATGATGTTGAGATCAATGATAGTGAAGACATTTAATCAATAAAATAAGATTTTGAACTATGACTACTTGTATTTGTATTTTCATTATTAACACGAAATGCAAGTTGACATGTTTGCCCGTCAATTGAACAAAGTATTCCGAATTGTTCAGTTTCTTTCATGAGAATAATTTTATTTAAATAACAGGAATTGAGTCAGTACGGCTCGTTAAGGAATAAAATATAATACTTACATGTGTTCTTTAGTCCCATTACACTCATATAAAATATTTGAAGTGAAAAATTCCTACTAGACTATAAGGAATGTATGAGAAATTAGTTTTGAATGAGTTTCCTTAATCATTCACCGAAAAAAGGTGTGAGGGTACGTCCTAGTCTAGAAAAAACTGTTCCAGAATTGAATCTTATCACATGTAAAAATTTCGTTAATATTCTTGTTTTTTATTTATACGCTTAGAGTCATGGAATATTTAACTATAACCTTTAATTGCAATTGGGACCACTGATTTTCTACTAGTACCCGGTAGAGCTCGCTGGGTACGGGTCTGATCTGTTCTAGTTGCTACTCTTAAGATAAAAGTCTATGATAACCACATTCCTAAACGATCCATCAAAACGCCATAAAAAATATGAAATAAATTCTAATGCAAATAGTATGAATCGGAATCCGACAAACTTTAAAATTCTTGTCGCACATATCTCTAAAACTTACACTCACTTTACTTTTCTTCGAAAACAAAAACCATCATGTCAGTTTCACAAAAAACAAAAACAGCCAATAATTTTACCGTCAATTGTTAATGATAATAGATTAATATCAAATGAACTTTGAATATTCTTTAATTGAATAAGTGCAATATGTTTTCGTATTGAGTGTTTTTCACATATATTTAAGACAACCGAAGAAAAGAAACAGTTAAATGTGTTCGTGTTGTTGTTAATTTTTGTGAAAGTTCCATAACTTTAAATTTGTCTATGTAATCATGATGTTCAGCAAGAAACTTTGACTAAAATTTAACAACAACAACAAAACATACTTCATACTGTAGGAATCGTTTTCTTACTCGACAATTATCAATACTATTAATTCAATGAATCAATTAATAATTGATAATCAATATGTGCTATTGATGTATATTCAAGTAAACGTTGAATAGGTCGTATCATTAAATGCAGCTAGATGTTGTTTACCTAATTGAGTTTTGTGTTTACGAATCTATTTGAGATAGTTTTTACCGTTTACATTATCTATTCAATGAAATAAAATTACCTTAACATAAGCATAAAAACGAGCATCCATTTTCTTCTCTATTGTATGAATTGCTTCCATCTATTAGAAAAAAAAATAAAAGTTATATAAAAAACAATATTCCAATTGATTAAAAAATAGTTCATTCGAAAATAAAAGTAATGCTGTGTATAGATGAACTAATATAATGCAAGGAAATTGAACTAGTTCATCACTGTTGCAATTAAAATCCAATAACAGTGTCCAACAGTTTAGTACAAAAAGAATTCCATAATTACCTATGAAAACTGAAATACGTCAAAGGCATCAAATTTCGTTAAGCTCGATAATTTTTTTTACGATTTTATTTGACTCATAAACAAGAAAAAAAAACTTATGTATTCTTTTTGAAAACTATTATTTGATGGTCGAGACAATCGGTTTTTTCGATTCGATGACAAAGTATGAATGCGAGTTTGTATCCAGATTCTGCTGTCACATCGCACAACTAAACAATATTTTCTCAAAGCCACACATAGATTTTCTTCCGAAGTATATGATGAGTAAAGTTGTAGAAAAATATATAGCTTATTAGGATTTGATTATTTTACGTTTTTTTTTTGCAAATCTAATATTTGTCATAATAACATTATTCTAGTCTATCAAAAGCATAAAATATTTTCAGAGGTAACTCGGAAGGCTCTATCGAATCATAAATAACCAATACATCTTAAAAAATATTCTTGCTCGCTATAGAACAAGTTGGTCGCCAGGAATATATAATTATTATTCTCAATATCATGAAAACTTCTTGATTAATAGTATATTAATTGATAAAGTTCATTTACCTAGTAATTATTCTTTATTATTTTTAAGTCTTTTAACTAGGAAAATATCTTTCATTGAATAATTATCTTACTCGAATAATAGTTAATAATATTATTATTAACAATAATTTCGTTCAGTTTCATTTAATTTCATTCCAATTCAACACCTATTATTTTTTTTTAAATATTTTGTTGTTTTTCTGGAATAATAAATAGAATTTGTTTTTTGTTCGTTTGACTTTTTAATTTGAAAAAATTTATTCATTTATATATGAATGTTTATCTTGACGTTTTCGTTTAATAGTTGTATTTTCTGATAAATCAAGTAATGGACTATCATCATGTATTGATAGTGGAAGTAATAATGACGAAGAATCTGACGGTGTTGTTGATGTTGCTTGATTACTAGTTAAATCAACTGTATACGTGAATTCATCAGCGTTACCCATAAAACATAAACATTCCCTAAACTATTAAAATCAATATTATGTAAATATATTATCTTATAATCTTTTGTTTTTTTCTTGTTGAAGGTTCATTCATTTTTGTTGTTATAATTCCACGTAATAAACATTTTATTTTTTCACTTATGTGACAGGTTATTGACCGGAAAATTTTTTGATTCAAAATTTTCCTGATAATTAGATCTGTTCATCCTAAGAATATTGTAAAAGTTTAAATGTTTAAAAACTTCCAATTTTTTCGACAGTTTATGAAATCGAATCGGCTTTTCAACTATTAAGTGTCTTAACAAAGAAGCAATTTTTCCAACTAAAATATGTTCAATTTAATTTTTCAGTTAATACTCAATTGGTTGAAACGTCATAAAAAAAGATTGTAACTCGGCTTCGAAAATGTACGGCAGTTCATGTCTTTACAAAACATTTTTCACCAATATGTGCATGTGAAATAACATATGTTACTTGATCACGTTAATCTTTTCGAACTAGTCTTCAATTAATTGTAGGAAAATCGTTGATTTAAAACAAGCAGAATCAATGAAACAAAATATGTAATTCCTTGAAATAAAAAAAATAAATTTCATTTGATTCAAAATATATTACAATATAAACAACATACCATATGACAACATATCTTACATGTGAGAGAGAGAGAAAAGAAAAAAGAAATAAGCCAAGAGAGGAATTTTCTTTTTTTCTTCTCTCTTTCGTCCACAAATCATTGTTCATGTTATCATTGATCATCAATGATAACGTGACATAATTAATATGTATATCAATTGAGCTTTATCCATACACATACATTGAGATAATTGTGATTGACTATATCTCAATGTATATGTGTGTCCTGATTATAGCTTAATTAAAATCACCGTATAATAATTTTTCGACGAGAAAAAGAAAGACTTTTGATGAGTATAAAAATGAATGATTTCCAACGATGAAATCATTCAATTTACTGAATCAAATAATAATCGTTACTTTTTATATTTTAGTTTGGTTTCGACGATACAAAACTAAACAAAACAATACCAAACAATATAATAAAAAAAACGCGGGTATCAGTTTTTTTCTTCGATCATATGGAGGATGGTAAGGCCTCCTTTGATCTTTTTTAATGTATTTGTTTTTTTTATTTCAGGCATTAAAAAGTCAACAAAACAGATAATAGTGAGGTAAGTTATTCTTTTCTTTTCGATACATTTATCTTCAATTAATAATTTTTTTTCTTTTCCTTTTAGTCTTCAACATCATCGCATCGTCCAATATCAAAATACGTAAGTAATTATTTTTCTGTTTTTGAGATGAGATTAAGGTGAGTGTTAGTGGAGGGCGTGGTGAGTCATATCCATTGAGATTAGATCTCTGTTATCTTTCAAGCCTTCCGGATAGGTCCTAAAAACCCGGCCAGGAATCATCTTGGTGTCTGTGACACACGACCGAGGTTATGCAGACTCATTGACATATCTCTCGAGTGGAAGAATATGAGTCTGTTCCGTGCGTGCATGGGTGTTACGCTCGCCACGGCTCCACCAGGATGGTTCCTGGTCGCGCGCGCGAATAGAATAGACATTCATTTCATCAATTCAATGTGATTTATTTGAAACGAAAGGAGCGCAAAAAAATCTATCACGACGAGTCTATTCGATTGAAAAGCGTTGAACACGTTGGTTGTCCCAATCGACGACATAGAGATTGCCATGTCGATCGAAGGACAAACCCTCGGGACCGTTGAACTGATTTGCTCCTGCTCCTTCACCATTTCTACCCACAATGACAGTGCCCTGTTTCGCTCCTTTAGGCCAACGCATCACTCGATGATTCGCCATGTCTGCCACATAGATGGTACCCAATGTATCGACGAATAGTCCGCGAGGATTCGACAATTGTGTCAGAGCATTCCTATAGCCTTGATCTCCAGCGATGACAATTCCTTCTTTTGCACCTTTATTCCATTTCATTACACGATAATTGTACTGGTCTGACACGTAAACAGCCTGTTGTTGATCGACATAGATGTAGGTCGGCCAGTTGAGTTGATTGAGACCAGCACCTTCGCCATTGCCACCAGCCACAAGAGTTCCATTATTGTCTCCTATTTGATATCGTCTTACTTCATGTCTGCCGGGATCAGAGATATAGAAATATCTCTGATCATCCATGGCCAATCCCCAACACGAGATGTTGTCGATGAGAATTTCTCCTTGAGTTGTACCACTACGACGAGACCATCGTACGACTCGTCGACTCGCGTAATCACAAATAATGAGACTATCCGTCTCTTTGTCAATCAACACATCGGTTGGGTAATATAATTGATCCAATCGATTTCCTTTGCCATTGCCACCAGCTACTACTTGTCCATTCGTATCACCCATCTTCCATTGGATGATACGATTATTTTTGAAGTCAGCGATGACAATCGTTTGATCATCATCAACGAAGAGACCACAAGGGCTCTGGAGTTGATTGGTAGCATTGCCTTGTCCATGGCCTCCAGCAACAGTCGTCGCATTCTGTTTCCATCGAGCATCGGCTGGAATATTGGGAATTACTACAATGAACAAAAAAGAAAAGGAATCGTCGTTATCGAAGAGATTCCATCTTTCGTGGAAGCAAACGTTACATATACGACATCCACCTTTGAGAATGCTCGTTTCGCAGATAAAAATTCAGAAGTGTTTTCCTAATTCCGTATAGAAAAAAAAGGACTTCGTAACGATTTTTCCATCTATGCTACTTCTTATCAAGATCTTTTTGACCCTAAAAACTACACCTGGAGATTGCTGTAGGAAGATTTTTCCGAGAACAAACAATGCTAATTCGATGCAAGCTTTCGAAAGAAAAACATAGGAATCTGAGGATTTTATGTGAAATTGCAAAAATTCAGGATCTTATGGAATAAAATAATGAACTATACGTGAAACACCTAAACTAGAAAAATCCTAAGAAGATTCTATCCGCATCTTGTTATTGATAGGATCTTAGCAAGATCATATAGAGTGTTTCAAAAGTCTTGATCGTTCTAACAAAAATTACTCATTCTTCCTTATTATAAATCGAAAGACGCTCAAAGCTGGAAGTATAATCCCTTGTAACTAGCTGCAGAAGAAATTAGAATTCAGAAAAATTTAAAATTTTTCTCAATTCTAATCTCTCCAGTAACATTTATATATAGCAATTTTGATTAAGAAAAAAGAATGAATAGATAATGAAAATAAGTTAAAGATATGGAATTATTTGTGTTGTGGGAAAAACTAATGCAGTTAACACAGACAGAATATGTAACTACTTGAGTACTCGTGACTGCCCGTGATCAAGTTCCAACGACGGTCACAGTCACTATTCTGGACAAATTTGCTCTACATATTTCGAGAGCGTACTAGAACCGAAAAGATTCATTGACAAAGTAAAAAAATTCGCTGAAAATCTCTATAGATCAAATTGGAACTGATTTTAATGCTTTAGTATAAAGTTGCTAAGTATCATAACGCAATTGTATTTCTATATGATCTCTTTTAGGTGAAAAAATACAGGATAATAGATATAGTCGAAATAAGGGTCAGACAAAGTGCATTGGTGCTCACTTCATACAAATATATGGCTTTTGACTCATTCGGAAAAAAATGCGCTTTTGCTAACGACTTTCATAGGACGATGAATACGATGTCAAATGTACACATGTTTTGGTAGTCCTTAGCTCAGTAAAAATGGCATTCCAGATAAAAAAAAGCTTTCAGTTCAATCTCTACGTGATTAAGATGTGAAAGAAGATGACACCACGTTACTTGTAAACAAGATTTACGGCACACTTTTTCAGAATCAGTGATGGAGTCGAGAAAGTAGCATTTCGAAATGCCAATCGTAGTCTGTGGTGCAATCAGAATGCCATAACACCATGTTTACCACAGTTTATGCGGCAGATTGGTCGTTTGGGTTCGCATTTCGCACTATATTATTCAATATTCCCAAACAATAGTCCTTCAAAAAAACTTCCACTTAGTAATAATTACGCAGATAGAATGTAAGGAGCTAGGAACGGTTTTGTCCACTTAAAGAGTGTCTTGAAGGAAGTATTGAGTTCTCATGAAATGAAGAATTTTTTCTCATCAACAAAACACTCTAACTTGAAGTATTCAAAAGTCTTACGCCTGCAGATTCTGAGTCCTTCTCAGATAATACCTGTAAACATGCTTACCTCGTAAAAATTCCAAATATGTACCATAGATGATGAAGAGTTTGATGTCATCACACCAGTAGTTTGTCTGATTGCTGTGATTGCCGAGCGCACTAAACTCGATGAGCACTTCGAGTTCTCGCATATCATCACTCAAAGCCAGATTGATATTCTCTTTAGTCGAATCTGTATACAAAGTGTGTACCATAGTTGGTGTTAGTATACTGAAACTTACTTAATTTTTTCTGAGCACGAATGTATCCGATATTGCTGATTCCTCTCAATTGGATGGATACACCAATGCTCATACTTGCACTCAATATGGCTTGGGAGTATGGCCAAGAATTCGAGTCCCATTTGTTTGATAAATTGACGCGTTGTAACATTGTAGCTCCCGTATTATATGATTGCAAAACAAAGTGGCAGTTAGTATTATTCTTGTCAGACATCATCGTAGTGACATTGCCAGTTTGTAATATCCAATGGTTGACAAGAGAAATATTGCAATCAGCTTGACCATTTTTGATCAAGTTCATATCATTAGCAAGTGTTTTGTTGGGTAGTAGAGCGTCTTGAATTGAGACAGCACTTCTTAGTTGACTGTTTGTAATATGGGCGCCACTAAAATTAGCCTTGTACAGATTGGCATGGAGGAAACTAACGTTGGTCAAATCAGCTCCTGCGAACAAAGCACGTTTAACGTTTGAGTACCAAAAGTTGGAATAAGATAAAGCAGCGCTATTGAAATCAGCTGCAACACCAGTCGTTTGTCGAAAATCTGTATAAAATGCTTTGGCACGAGAGAATATGGCTGAAGCTAAAGGGCAATTGAAAAATAAATTTCATGAAAAAAAGCAAAACTATTATAAAAATTACCTAAAATAGCGGATGAAAAGTTGACATTGACAAGTTGAGCATCTAAAAAGTTGACATAGCTAAGTTCAGCAGATGAAAAGTTGACATTATGGAGTGTGGTGGAGTGAAACTTAACATTGACGAGTCTCGAGTATGAAAAATCAACATTGAAAAGCGAAGCGGATGAAAAATCAACATTATTAAGTGCAGTGAATGAAAAGTTGATATTCTCGAGTCGTGCATTTGAAAAATCGGCATTGAAGAGCACAGCGGATAAAAAATTCGCATACTGAAGTTGGATCGATGGCAAGTAAACACTGAAGAACGAAGCGAATAAAAAGTTAGCATTGAAGAGAGAGCTGAATGAAAAGTTAATAGTATCGAGTTGAGTGTATGAAAAGTTAGCATTGTCGAAGCTAGTGGATGAAAAATTGATATTGCGGAGTCTCCCAGATGAAAAGATAACAGTGTTAAACTGAGTATTAGCGAAGTTGACGTGCTCCATCTCTAAGCCTATAAATGTGGCACTTGATAGAAAGACACCAGTCAATGATAGTTGATTCAATTGTTTTTCATTTATTGCTGCATCACGAAAATCGATATCAAGAAGTTTTGCTGTTGAAAGATCCAGTGAAGAATTTTCGTGTATTTCAGTAAGTTGTTTGGCTTCGTGGAGAAATCGAATAATGTGAATGTTACGTTGTGCATCTAGTTGACGAAAAATATTCAGAGTTTTCGCTCGAGCAAGTGTAGCTGCAACTTCATTAGAGGTTAGTGATCCGTTGTTCTTCTCTAACAGTTTACCAATTTCTTGAATATAAGTATCAAAAAGTTCGCTTTTATATCTTTCGTCATTCAGGTTTCTGTCCTGCTCACGTTGCAGTTGGGCTGCATTTCGATCTTCGTCACGTTGCTGTTTAGCTGCATTCTGTAGCTGAAAAGCGATAACAACAGTGAAGACACCTAATGCGAGCGGCAGTAGTAAAGAGGAGATAAATTTGAGACAATCTTCGAGTTTCACACCACATAATTGACGAGGTATAATGAGAGATCGATCTGTTTGTGTACTTTGTTCTTGAGAAACCATTCTCTCTTTTTCGTTTGATGTGTAGAAATAAATGAACAAATGATTACTAACGATAATAATTGAAGCTAATCTTTTTTACTGTTGATATCTCAAAGTAAGCAGAACGTGTTTTTAGAAT